TTCGAAGAAACCCAAAATACGTTTTGGTTGACAAGTAAGCGATCGATATCTCATTTTATTAGTCTGATAGTAATACGGATCGAGTGATATTAGTCTGAGCTCTTCACTTCAGATTTAGCGAATTATACTGCAACTTTGAAAATCAAGCGATGAGTCACAGTCATTGAACCGTGTTGAAACACAAAGACTGTTTCCTGGACATGTAAAGGTATTCCATTAAGGGATTAAGAGAAGTCATTTATCCAGAAATTATATGGTAATTATCAATTTATATGACATATCACCATGTGCATTTACTGTTTTGGAAAAACAACACAAACTTGTTGCTGTAAATAAAATTATATAGTGGTTCGTAGTAATATGGTATTTTATATGAAAAATCAAAAGCACTATATATATTGTAAATGAGCATCTTCGTTTTAATATACTGACGAGTCACGGAGACATAACATTATTCAAATACAGAATTGCATATCAACTAATCGGCAATCTTCTACGAGGTAAGTCTGAATTTGAGTTGCAAATGAATGTGTTGCGAGATATATACTCGTTGTAGTCGTGATCTCACTGAGTTTAGTATATGTGGCTACATTATATTTATATGTCTATTCTACGCTCCAATATACAGTCATATACGCTTCAATCGCCACTCAAGTACGTGTGATTGCATTGTGAAAGCACTACGCTTACTGTAGTATAACGTATAACATTATAAAATGGTTATACTAAGTGTAACGCTTAGGTTAAATGAAACTCGATTTCGGATTCAAGTTTTTATTCTTTGCTTCTCCGATCAGTGACACTGATCTGTATTCTCACGACAAACTACGAGTATGATGCAAATATTAGTTCGTTTTTCCGATTATGTTACGACGACTGTGTCCAAGCGGACGCAGTTTTTAACTAGAGGCCGGACGCGGGCGCTTTGGAGGCAGGACGCGGGCAGAGCAGACGCAAAACGCGGGCGTCGTGGTGGCCGGACGCGGGCGCTCTGGAGGCAGGACGCGGGCAGAGTGGACGCAAGACGCGGGCGCTCTGGAGGCAGGACGCGGGCAGACGCGGGGACAAGTTATTTCTTGGCAGTACTGTAAAACAAAGGTAACTATAAGCATTAGAATAAAGGAGAACTTTAGAAATTCACCTTATTGTTCTAATTTGAATGGCTGAGTAGTATACTGAACACATGGGTGCGTAAACACTTGAATCGAATTTTGTGCAGGGGAGTTATTGAAAAGTTTTCAGTTTCGTTAAGCCCGTTTTATACGTCGAATTTCGGTCGCGTCGAATGCAATTCAAATAATAGATAATGAAGCTTAATGAAGTTTATCCTCTCATTATCTATTGTCTTAATTGCATTAGACGCGACAAAAATTCGACGTATAAAACATGCCTTAAACATATGATTATGTCCTAATTGATTTACTGCAGAGGTTGAGGTAAGAAAATACGTGCATCAAAGAAAACAGTTGTTTTTTTTATTTACATGTATCAATGCAATTATCAAGGTATTCTAAATTCCCAGGAGCAAGAAATCGTGTGCTTAACAAGGATATTTTAATATCTAAAGGTCTTCTTTTTTAACACATGCATGTAACACCGCGGAAAAACGTCTGCGCATGCGTCAACATTACTGAAATCTGTATTGCGAACGTGATGTCAAGTGTTTCGAATGTTGTCAAAAACTCAAAATGGAAGCGACTTCGATGTTTTGCCCTTTCTATGAAAATGCAAGCGGAATAATGAACGTGACAACCTAAAAACTAGAAATAATTATTATTATATGTGCAAGAAGTAGTATTATGCATGAAAATAAACCAAAGGTGACTGTCGATAAATTTATTGTATAAAACGTTCTTTAACTGAACCATGCATACAAAGATATTTTTCGTAGGTTCATATGATCCACATTTTTGTCAATAACTTTTTTGCGTAGCATGTATAATTTTTGCGTTGACTATATTTAAGGGTAATGATTCACTTTACAATTTAATCGTGTGCAAATGCTTCACTATTCGATAGTTTTCTTAACTTTTGTGCTTAAGTTCGGTATTCTACAATTTTTCAAGAAATGTTCACACGCCTCCCGGTCTTAAACGGTAATTTTTAATTTAAATTCTGTTTCATTTTAGATTTTAAATGTTAGAAAACTTTTTATTAATGTCTAAACTACCCGTCCAGTGTATTTTTTGTTTGTTTCAATTACCTCAATTAAATAGCCATGTTTTTATTTACAATTTGGCATTTAAATTCCTCGCCATCTTTTTTGTGCCCCACGCATGCGCACACGTTTTCCCGCGGTGTTCATGCATGCACCCTGCCAATTCAATATTTTACGCATGCGTGGGTTCAACATAGTGCTCAGGCATTCCAATTTTAACAATAGGATAATTTCTAGACGTCGCACTCTTTGAGACACCCTATATATAATAGTTATTCAATGGGGTAGTAGATAATTCAAAAGATTAATTACATTTGTTCTCTCTTGTACTTCTGTAAACTAGAATTACAATAGTAACTTAGGCATGTGAGCTATCTAAGGCCCGTTTCATACTCTGTACTTCACATGTGCCGAATACATTAACGACAATAGATAACGAGCTGAAATACCTCAATTTATTTATTGTTTTTAATGTATTCGGCACATGAGAAGTACGGTGTATGAAACTGGCTTAAAGTTGTGAATTGGATATTAACAAACGCTAGCCAAATGTGTCTACTGCTTAGTTTAATAAAAGAAAGCATCGACAAGTTGTAGAGGTACTAGGTCAAACGTCAAATCGAAAACCCCGCAAAATACCATGCATGTTACTTTATTTAGCGGTTGCGTTTTCCCTAAATTTCACACGATTTTGGCAGCTAGAGCTATTTTCCCTGTTTTTATTCATTTTGAAATAAATGGAGTTTCCTGCAATCTGATTGGCTCTTAGCAGCGCGATTTCAGCACAAATCGCACTCTGTGCTATTTAAAAATTGCGCGCATCATTCATGCAGCTTCAGCTGTAATCGCTTCCTTTTTTTCAATCGATCGGATTTAGTTGTACGATTCAACCAGCCAACCATTTTTAAGAAAAATTAAATGACCAAATCAAATCTGGTATCATTGTTTGTAATAAAATGTCTATTACAGTAGTTATCAATAATTATTTTTGACCAAAAAAAGTAAGCTAAGAAAATCTAAAAATACTAAAGAATATTTCACAATTGAGAATTTAATTAGGAACAAAATCGGAATTGGAATTGGCAAATGAGGAACAAAATCGTCTATCACACAAACATGGTCAAAGTGGCAACAAAAGCAATTATAATTTAAACAGACGGCAAAACAAGATTAAATTCGTCATTCTTAGTTCCGATGTCTGAACGCCCAAAAGCGCACCAAAACGTTTATCAAATCGTGCACTATAAAACCTATACTATATATATTTAAACTTCCTTGTGTTGTCTTTTATTCTTCGTAAATCTCTTTTTGGTTTTTCGATCGTATAAAATGCCATTTAAATAAATCTAAAAGTTCATCTTATTCGATTGTCGCTGAACTGGAGGTGTGTCTTTTGCAAACTGTTTATGATTTCAAAATGAAGTTGAAATTGAACGTCGTATCGTGCAGTTTTGGACTGAAATTAGACTTGTGATTTTGTAATCACGACTTTAATTTCAGTCCAAATTGCACTCCATTTTAGTTCATATAGCTTTGTAATAATTTATTTCAAGCTTCATTTAGTTTATTTGGTATTCCTTTAATCTTCAAATCAGAATCATATTTAAAAATGTTAAATATTTCATTATCAAGTGCTTCGTGCTTCGTGTATTCAATATTGTCGCTATATAGTATTTTTACATATGGTACAGTTGTACCTGTGTTTTTGTGTTTTATACCCCACAGACATGGTATTTTAACGGCTATACACTGGAAAAAAAATTGAAAATCCATAGAAGGTCATAGAATGGAAATTGCATGTATAGACCTTTATTGGAAATAGAATGAATGGATTTTCATTATCCATAATAATTGTATATTTCCATACTATGGATATAGTATTGAATTAGTATGGATATACTATATGGATTTAGTGGTGCATGCAATTGCATATTTCATAGTATGGATTTCACTTTTTTCCCAGTGATATAGATGTATTCATCTGAACATCTTTTAAAAAATGGAAACCTGCAGAATTCTTTCAAACTCTAAAGTACATTAAAAAGTTACGAAGCGTCGAAAACTAAATCCGAAATATTTTTCTAAACGGCAGTAGCTATAGCTAACCCCGGTTTGAAGTTGAGATACGGTATAACGCGAAGAAGGAAAAAAATAATGACACTCGTCAGACAAGTCGTTCATTTTGGCACGCGCACTAGAACAATCTTTATTTTCTTGGGCTTCTCTGACTAAAAAATGCCTGCGCCCATCCTTACACCGGTGATGCGTGTGTATATTGGGAATAAACAAAAGGCAGTATTTGTAATTGTATGCACGCGCTAGTAACTATTACGCTAATTGTGAACGTGTTATAACTTTTACACCTATCAACCTATCAACCTATCTGGTACATATAAGAAAATATATACGTTTAATTAAACTGTTTCAGGTTGATGAACAATACCAAGCAACTTCATTGTCAAGCAAATACTTGGGATCTCGTCTGAAAAGCTTCAGGTATTATAAGCGGTTTTATGCATGCAAGTATACTAACGGTTATTCTCCGCGTGTCTATGTCAATGTCGCCACCAATATCTTACATTATCATACAGTATTAACTGCATGCTTCAGACATTTTATCTACGCGAAAGTAAACTAACAGTATACATGTATATATGTATATGTGGTCCTTGTAGACAGTTGCATGGATAGGCAGAAAAGTCGTAATCACATGCATGTGGTTAATACAATAAAATCATTGTTTGGAAACTCGTGGATGTCTGAGTAATTACCTAAAATTGTTGCGGAAATTACTGGAACACTTTAGCAACTGTGACTTATGGTTATTGACTAATGTACATGTATTACAGCAGCTACAAATAGTTGCCCTTATCGTTGTTCTTGTTCATTATATGTGCGCAATCCCGTTGGGCCTATTCTGGGATCTTATAACTCGCTTAAAATCTCCCAAATTCGTATCTCGGCGGGAGTTTAGGCGATTTACCATCCCAGAGTATAGGCTTCCTAATTTCCAGCATGCTGTGTCTGTGTATCGTATTTTACGCTACTCAGCCAATAGCAATATTTAAACCAACTAATTGATGAAAGCACAAAATACTAGATAACTGAAGAAAACATTGCTATACTGTTTGGGCTAGAATACAATTTTCCTAAAGGATTCCTTTAGGAAAATTGTATTCTAGCCCAAACAGTATAATTGTATTCTAGCCCAAACAGAGTTAATTCCATGAATGGCATAAACTGTAAACATAAACTTAAACTTGAAACGTTATTAACAACAGTGCACACCGAAATTTGTAAAGTGAGGGGTTGATCTTCCAATAGGCCGTATACACTAATTATAAACATATAACTATTATAAATTCAAACTAAATATACTATATACAAGAGTTACGTAGCTATGTTTGATTTTAGTTTTAAAGCCAGATATAGGTGGATTTTAACAAATAGATAACAAGTTTTATAAAAATGTTAGAAATTTTCTACAATCTATAGTTTCACAACCATTTATTCAAGTTACTCGGTAAATTGTTCATACATATATTTATTGAATGGATTGACATGTAATCCGGCCGAGTATTTTTCGATTATCGCACGGCAGGATTATATACATTATGTCATTCTACCTAGGATTTTTATTAACAAACCTCAAAAATAGCTTTCTTTGCATTATTTCAAGGATTTGTAATCATTAGGCCCTGCCAACGCCTAATATTTTTTTCAGATAAATAAAAACTAAAATGAGATTTGGGTGCGATGAGATTTTTATAATTTTATAGTCGTGGAACTGGGACGAATTCAGCAACAATGGTTTCATTATATATCTACTTCCTGCCAACCTTAACACAAGTTGATATCAATAATGACAACCTTGGAAGAAAATTCCGTGCTGAATTGGTATCTTCTACAGAAGGCGGCATTCAAAAGTTGACATTGAGGAATAGATATGTTCTGGCGAGAAATAGTCAGCCAACTCCAGCTGCAAATGTCGGTAAGTCCATAGAGAAAATAGCATAGTTACAATAGTTCGGTCAATCTCGAAAGAATGCTGGATTAGGGTGCTCCTATTGATCAATGGTACAGAAAACTCTGCAAGATTTGGAAGAAGAATGTCATTATAGCAAAGATCATCTTACTCCTGTCTTAATTACCTTAACCAGGAAGTCATTTTTTCACCTCGCTTTGTTTGTTTGTGTACCTATTTATAAACTGGCATAATAATCGATCGTTTTTTTGCCTACTGAAATGAATTTACTGTTCAATCAATCTCTTACCCAGAGCCATCGTTGGCTCTGTTGTATGTGTATCTTGTGTTAGAAATCTTAAACGATATGTTCTGTCACATTCACTGTAATGTACTATATTTTGTAGCTGACGTGAATGAGTGTTCATCTTCAACTCGCTGTGGTTCTGGTCAACGTTGTGTTAACTACCCTGGAACATATCGCTGTTACTGTAACAGTCCTGCACAAATGATTACTGAGTCTGGTCAATGTATAAGTAAGAACACGATTTAATGAATTTCATTTTTTTAATAAGTATGAGGCACAAGTAGTCTCGATTTTAGAGTAAAAGGTTACTGAATTCCCTGGCAAGCTGACCCTGTTGAGATTAAGCTATATATCCCCCGAGATGTTGGATAAATAGCACAACGCAAAGACTTACGCAGGCCTTTCTCAAGTGGACTCTTTTTGTATCTATGCGCAGCACAGATAAATTGCTATTGCTTCAGTTTGTAGGTTAAACACTCAGGTCGCGTGCGCCTTAAATACATGCCTGCGAACAGGCAGCCTAAAATAAAAACAAAATGGCAGCCTGTATTCTACATTTTATGTGTACGTCAGTTAATAGTAGCCTAGAGAGTTTAAGCTTCGCGTTATACAGAAAAATACATTTATGTAAATGTATTCTTCGAAAGAAAAATACATTTACTTTACCTAAATGTCGAACTGATCGCTATAAAAACATTTTATCCCTGCGAACATTTTTAAGCTTAGCAATTAATCATATTCTGATTTACACTGAAATTTTTAACTTCTTTAAATATGTAAATTATGCATGCAGTTGAGTAATGTTTTATACACCTAGCTAATTATTGTAAAATTGTGTAATTCATCCTGCTGGTTGCAAGGCAATTCTTAAAACGATCTATCTATCTATCTATACGGTATCAGGAAATAAAGAGTATAAAATGAACTTGCTGTTTTAAAACTGCAATGCTTGATTATTCTTTCGACAAAAGAAAGAAAATATGAAACGAAAACGTTTAACGAAAATTTTGCGAAGAATGTTTGAACCTGCCGTCTGCCGTCCCGGAAACGCGAAGCTTAAACTCCCTATTACATCGCTATTAACATCTGAAATACAATGAAAATGTACTGTGACAAGGTGAGAGTTTTTTTTTTTTGTCTAACGGTTTGTATATGATTTGAAAAAAAAATAATAAAATGTTGTGATCCATATAGATTCCACCGTGATCGATCGTATATTAATAGGGAGTTTAAGCTTCTCGTTTCCGACTTTATGTATCTGCAAAACGTTTTGCTAGTGATGAATACGTTGCTTTATTTGTATTCCTTGCTGGTCTTCAATATTTGTAACGAGCATCAAACTCACCTCTTTTGTCCGGATTTTATCCTAGTGTATTATATTTAACGTGTGTAGTTTTCTTTCATCAAATTGACATTTCATCGAAGTATTTTTGACCATCAAAGACAGTGTTTTAAATTTGCAATTAAATTATCATTTGAATTACATTTGCATTGATATATTACTTCTATTTTTAGATGTTATAACATTTCAAGGAATTTTAATTATCACCAATCTCGGCACTTTTGATCCAAACCTTCTCATTATCAACAGTATTCCTTGGCTACAGCTTGCTTTATCACTCGAAAGTGTGGTAAGTCTTACAATTGTACATGGAGGTGGGCAATCTTTTGTCACGGGCATTATCGAACCTGATATTTTGTAAAAAAATCAATAAATTTGGATTGGCAAAGCAACCCTTACACGTCATACGAGCAACAGAAATGTGCGCACTTGTATTGCACTTGTCGAGACAAAAACAAATTAGACGATTACCAAGCCGGTTAATTTTACTGTTTTTACATGTAGAACTATAGATAAAATAGCTTTGTTCCTTTAGTCTATTCCTTCTTGCTTTCTGATACTTTTTTATTTTAAAAGCTCAAAAGTTTTGTTTATATTTTGGCTAAAAAGCGAAGCGGGGGAAAATACAGAAAGAACCAGTTGTTGCAACGGACCACATGCAGTGCATTACTGCGTCACAATGCACGCGCATTAGCCAATCAAATTGTCTGTTATATCCCACTTATAATGTGGCGTAATAATATTGATTTATTTAATCTCAATTTCGATGGGACGCTTGGAGAGAGCAATTGAAGCTCCTTTGGTAAAAAGAGACCTCGAATTTGCGATGAAGAACGAGCAGTTCGATTTCATTTGATTTGCCGTAGTCAGAAGGGATATGCTTGCTGCTTTGCCAGCTGGTTGTGGGAAATCACTGATTTATTCAGACGTACATGCTCTTGCTCTTGATGTTGAACCGCGCCCGTTTTTCGAAAGACGAAATTTTTCATCAGACTAACATCACTAAAAATTCAGCAACTTACAGTATAGCAACATCATCAATACATATTTAAACTGCCTTTTCTTCCAACTTGTAAGCACTGATTTAGTAACACTGAGTATTTTGATAAAGTACGAAATAATGGATTTATTTATTAACAAACGTTTAATTTAGATGGTTAACAACATTTCGACTAATATTTAGTCATAATTAACTCTAGTTACACATAAGTTTAGGAAGAGGAATTAAATAAGAAAAATATAGTTTATGCAAGAATGGTTTACTGGAATACTCATCTTATACAAATGAGTACAATTTGTTGTCTTCCTTGTCTTGGATTTAACATACCATTGTTAATGAACGCATCTTTATTGACGTTGCCATCTATCTGCAAAATCTCAAGTTAATTTTGCAATGGAACTATATCGCTTTTGTTTTTACTTTTAAAGTTATAAAGTCATTTAAAGCATTAAAATTCAGGTCTCGTAGATTTTGACGATCTCCTATTTTTACTTGGATTGTAGATTAACGCGGCTTATGGAAGAAGCAACCTTGCCAGTAATTACAGACGCTCTCAAGTTACAGGTTTTACGTAAGATGATACGTTATTATTTAATTACTTTATGATTCTTTGGCCTTTGAAATCTTTTATTCAAATAAAATTAGCATTTCAAATTACAAACGTCAGTTGAATATTATACACCATCATCAGTGCATAATACATGGCGCAACTAACTGTTCTTAAAAAATATTCTCCACTTGTGGACCGTTAAATGGTAATGTGCGTATGCTCTACCATATTCAAGACTTATAAAGGGGCCATGCTCAAGCTTTTTAAAGCTTCACAGAATAGCAGCTCTTCCTGACGAAATTCTTCAAATGCGCTTTACGTCCAGTATATTACGCTTACCTAATAATTACATACTTAGCCTAAACTATTTTATCTTTACAACAATTGTGATATTACTTTCTTAACTGTGTTTATCCTAACCCACCCTGTCAGCTTTCCCCGTGAGAGGAAACCGGAACACCCGAAGAAAACCCACGACTTTCTGTAAGGCGTTGACTGACTCTTTTCCTTATTGAGAGTCGAACCCACGAACTCAGAGGTGAAAGGCGACTACGCCACTGAAGTCCCATGTACAATATCATTATTTTACTTACAGGGAAGGATCAGTGCGTGCAACATACGTAGCTACATTTGATCCAGCAAGTAATGAAACGGTTTCAAATGTCCAAGCGGCCATACAACCTCAACTTAACGCGACTATTAATGGAACTTTCCTTGGGCAATATCAACTATCCGGAACCAGGCAGACTGCAGTACTGTATCAAGGTTAGTCTACTCATTTCGTAAGGAGAAACTGTCGTCCTATAAGCATATAGAGCTATTTCAATTAAGCTTGTCATAGTCAGTTGTATTCCAAGCGCGAATAGTAAGATGAGTGTACCAAACTTTAATGTTTTTAGCTATTTAGGTAACCTATGACCATTAGCCTGCGTTCAGCCCCGACCCGAATTTATTAAATATCAAGTTAAGTCTGGGTATCCGGAAAGCAAAGCTTGTGCAGTCACGCGGATTTTCCCTTAGAGCCGGGGGACGTCTGTGATTGGTCAATTACTGATATGATTAGTGATAATTTTTGCTAAATGCGAAATAAAATATGTTGAATTCAAATTTGTGCCGTCTCCCAAACGCATTTTATTTCATAACACGCTTGTTTCACAATAGGAAAGAAATGCAACGTTTACGCACTTGTTAAACGATGGCGTAACCTACCATCGAACGCTTGTTAATACTTTTGGCACTACCTACACTGGCACAAACAGTTCAAAATTAATAACCATAAATCCTTTTGTTTCGTAAGTCGCAAGGCCATACGTGATGAATAGCACATTTCCCCCTTTAAAATATATTATTCCATAATATTTAAGGTGCTTAAAGACACAGTTCAGCTTTTGAACGATGGCTTTTAAGCGCATTTCAGCCTTTTTAATTGAACTTAACTAACTAGGAAAATCAATTATATTTAATGGACCATTTGCATTATAGACTAAATTTTGATCTAAACAAGTCTAGACAAAAATTTCAACACAGCTTGAAAGCGCATCACAAAATTAGTAATATTCCAAAGTTTCGTTGCGAAATGTTGTAAAATTCTGATAATATAGCCTTGCGAAGTTTGCCGTTTTTCAGTCATTTTCTATTACAAACGGGAAATTGACAGCCCCAAAGGGTATTGGGCTGTCAATTTCCCCCGCGTAATGCAAAATGACTGAAAAACGGCAAACTTCGCAATGCTATATATATATTATCCGCATTTTACAACATTTCGCAACGACACTTTGGAATATTACTAATTTTGTGATGCTCTTTCAAGCTGTGATGAAATTTTTGTCTACACTTGTTGAGATCAAAATTTAGTCTATAATGCCAATGGTCCATTCAAGATCGGTAAACTCAATGTTTTTAACAATAAAAATGTTTTAAAATGTTAAAAACATTAAGTTTGCTGATCTTGAATCATGCTTAACTGATTTTCCTAGTTAGTTTTTTCCATAGATATCTTATATACTAAAAGGGCTGAAATGCGCCTTAAAACCATCATTCAAAAGGCTGAACATTTCGCCTTTAAATTGTACATTTGATTATTGCTCGTGACAATAGCTGTATACTGGATGAAACAGGCTGTAGGTGCAACTTCTAGGTTGGCATGGGTGTCAGATGTTTATATCTACAATAAGGCGGTTACCTCTATAAATGGGCTATAACTGCAGACTTGGTTCAGAAGGCAAATTTTATATTCCCTGTAATTACAAAATTGGCTTTTTTGAGGGTTGATTTCTAAAATGTCCCAGGCCTCCCCCCTAGTTCACAAGCTGCTCGCAATGTAGGCTGGGATGACTGATAATTAGTTTTGCCCGCAGGCAAGGTGGACGGGAAAACATTTCAAGATTTATTATGATGTAACCTGCAAAAATGTAATGATATTTGATTCCCAAATAGATTATGATGAATGTAATCCTGCATCAAACATTCATGTTCAAGACTGTGGTACAGGAGCAACATGTACTAATGAAATAGGAACATATTCGTGTCAATGTGCTACTGGTTATACAGGAACTCCGCCTAGTTGCACAGGTATGTATATAAGAATATAAGATGCAAGATGAGAAGATGTCAGATATCACATATGTGATGAGATGTGAAATTAATCGTTATTGTTTAAACTAAATGGCGAGTAATATTTCTCAAAGGTTTTAAACAATATAGAACAAAACACATCTTGACATATAGTATCATGAAATCACAGATATGCATGGTAATTACAAGCCGTGAATGAATTCAAGATGACAATGCCTAGTTATGTCATAAAATCAAAACATCGGAAACTTAATGTTTTCGTCTCCGATTGTATTTTGTTTTTATATTTGTTTCTAACTAAGTAGATTATATGTAGTCGGATCGCTAGGCTATTTTTACAAAAATAAACTAAATGGATGTCCGTTTCTTTTTCTTCTACAGCTGTCACAGTCTACCCGCCGTTGTATTTCGGTATGTTGTGTTTATCTCTGTTATGTATTACAATTATCTTTTAGTCATATTGTTCGGTGATAAATAAACAATACCCGCCGACCATTTAATAAAATTAGCTAATGCAGTTATTGTAACTGCAAGAGCTCGAGTTTTTAATTAACTACTTCATAAAAACGAAACGAAATCCACAGATTAGCATCTTGAAGCCATCATCATATCAGTCATAGCCCAAGATATTAAGCTGATTTGACTCATTTTTAAGATTCAAACTGCCAACACATTGTGTTTCGTGTAGATTTTTTCACTTAGTATATTGGTTACTGCATACACCATTATCGCTTAATATTGGTTACTGCACCATGAGTCTTCTGCTATTTGTTGGAGGAATTGGTGACGTTTGTGACACCGAAATACCTCCAAAAATACCCCGTGGAGTAATATAACTAAATCTGTATGGAAATAAAACTGACTAAAAGTAAGCGCAAACTGACTGCAAGAAAGCGCAAATACCATTTCTATTTATGGAAAGCAACATATCTTAGCCATACCTCGCGCATGCGAGACTGTCTTCAAACGTTGCACCTTTCCTGGGATCTCTGAGTTAAGATTTCTCGCTAAAGTTTTGTTGTGTATTTTAGTGAATGACGAGGATGCGGATCTGGTGAAATGGCTCATTGTCGGTGTCGTAGTTTATCTTGGCATTTGCTTCCTTGCCACTTTCTTCATTTTAATTCTAATATGTAAAACGTGAGTACCGTCCTATATTAGCATTTGTAACCTTGTTTGTTTGCTTTTGTGTATTTGTTTTTAATGCTACAGTACTATTTTTTGGGGGTTTTTTGTTTCCTTTTTGTTTTAATGCTATTTTTATGCTTGTTTGTTTCTGTTATATCTTGCTTTGTAATGTTGTGTAATGTGTTTTTAGAGACATTTTCTATAGTCTTAAGCTTTTATAAACATACGCGCTTTCGACTCCCAGTCTCCTCCCTGTCTTTGACAGGTGAAGCAATAATGAATTGAACTGAGCCCATAGGGAATGTGTCAATGATTTACAATTACAACAGTATATATTATAAAAAGTGGAATTAATAGTTCCGCCAACACGACTAATATAGATAGATAGATAGATAGATAGATAGATAGATAGATAGATAGATAGATAGATAGATAGATAGATAGATAGATAGATAGATAGATAGATAGATAGATAGATAGATAGATAGATAGATAGATAGATAGATAGAT